TTCCCCCATACATTAATTTCTTTCCTTATGTTTTGTAGTGTATTATTTTCTTCAGGCTGAACTCTATATTGGAGCTGCACAAAAGTAGATCTGATCTGATTAGGGAGGTAAAAATATGTCTGTGAGAATACTCATCTTGGCAGAAGATATGTTATTACAGCAGTGGGGAGATACAGCCACAAATCTGTTTGGAGAGATGTTGAATGAGAAAACCTCATAAATATTCCACTATATTTGTAGGCTCATAGCTGATTATAAAACTAAGGCTTTCCTTTTAATATGATGATGAAACCTCAGGAGATAATTATATTATGGTTTGGATCCTTATTTGAACTTCATCCAGACTGTTACACCCTGAAATTCTATACGATCTTGATGTATCTCATACAAGAGTAGGCTTCTTTTTTTTTTCTGAGGTTGTTTGGTACTTCCTGCCTCCACAAATGCTGTGAGAAACGCCTTCCTCATCATATTATATTTGTTTTTATTATTTCAGCATTTCTTATTCCAGACTGGGCTGAGGTTATGAGGATGATAATTCAATTTAATATATGACTATGTATAAAGAAATTTTTGGTTGAACCGTCTGGAGGAAAACAAATAGTTTTGAAACATCTTTAACATCTTTATTAAAATACACCACATGACTTGTAGTGTGCAGGAAGAGTGCCTCTAGATTTCTGTCCAGGATATAGAGTAACAGAGGGAGTGAGTGTCCCTGGTGTATCTATTATCTGATTTGCATCAGGACTCATTTATGCTAGAAAGAATTTTCCCTGTATTCTCTGAATACTTAGTGGACTCAAAATAACAAAAATTACTCATAATGTGTTGTATATCCTGCAATACCCTTCCATATTTACATCACTAATAATGAAGTTGATTTATGTAAAGTGGAAAAGTGAAAGTGTGGTAATTGTTTTGCTTTTAAATTCTTGACCTACATCATTAAGCAATGGCAAAACATCCCTGACTGCATGTGTGCTGAGGGTCTCTGGGGTGGTCTGTCCACGAGTGCTGGAGAGGTGGAAAAAGTCTCCTATTGGAACTGACAGTGAGTCTACTGGCTGCAGCCAGAAAATACCTTCAAAGGTCTGTCTTAAGTAGCATATATACGGTATTCAGCTTTTTGAGAATTGTTTGGGGATTTTTGAAAAAACAATTTTGCTTTGGAAAATGCTTAGTTGTTGAAACTCTTAGTTAAGCAATCTATTTGTTTTCTTAGTCTCATGAAAATTTGGAGGAGGGAGTTTTATTTTTTGTGTTTTTGCAAAGTGGTCATCTCTGCAGTTTTCTTGCACAGGTATGTTGAGGAAGAAGGAGCAAGAATTCACCACATTCCTCCCTGGTGCTGTGGGAAACCACAGATGAGATTCAAGCCCCCACTTAGACTGAGAAGTGCCCTAGGTAGTAGGCTTGTGTACCCTGAGACAGATAAGATATAATACATCCAGCTGTCTATTTAAATAGTTTGAGTGGGCACTCTGTGAAAGACTGTCCGATTAAGGCAAATGTGTGCACTAGCATTCCTCATAATAACTGCCTCTTGCCCAGGTTCCTGGCTATAGGTAAACATATAAAAATGTGCTTTCTCATGGGTAAAATACTCACAAAATAAAATTTTCCACAGTTTTTATAAAAAAACCTAACCACACAGTTGTTATTATCTGTTTTACTGGAAACATAAAGTACAGGAGAAAAGTGTTTGTTCTCTGAAAATGAAGTATTTTTCTAGAATATTGAAAATTGTCTTTCATGACAAATGTGTTACAGCTCTGAGATTACTCCAAAAGGAATTATTTTTCATGTTCTCTGAAAGTGAATATTTTCAGTAATGTGCAGAGTTGGTTCTCCAATAAGAACTACAGTTGTCCTGAGCATATCAGGGGTATGCACATCTTTATATGAATTTTGCTGCTCAGAATATACTTAGATTTTGGTTTTTTGGTATTGAACTACTTAGCTCAGTTGAAACACACAATAATTTTTCAGCCCATTCACCACAAAGCTTGTGACCTGGCTCACAGTGTAATACCTTATCTGAGTACTAACTAGAGTCCTTGTAGCTAGCCTGAAAGAGAGGAAAATGTGACTCAGCACAAAGAATAACAACCTTCCCACATCACCTTATAATCTGAGAGGCGAAGGAGCTTGAGCTCCAATGTGCTCTCCAATTACTGGTTCTGGGAATAAGTAAAAACTGTAATTTCTTGTTCTTTCCTTTCACAAATTGTGTAACTTAGGCATTTCTGTTGAAATATCTCCATTCAAAAACCAGGGTGTTTTTGTGATAGCCTTTTTATTATACAGAATGAAAAGGTTTGCAACTTCAACCTTTACCATTCAAATAAAGAGAATTACATAAGGCATAAAAGAATTAAGGATAGGAGATTCAAATTGGAATTAAATATCCATTAACCCCCACCTCCCTCTTAAAAAAGCCCAATAACTTGCAAACCAGTTGATCAGCTACAAAACACCCATGTTGGAGTAATGAGGATGCAGTTGCTCCCTTCTGAGGCAGCTCTTTCACAGTATCATGCAGAATATGTATATATATTTTTTTACATGAAGTTTCTGTTGCAGTGCATAAACTCTAAGTTACTAAATTACATAAATATTTAAGTGAACTCAGCTTTACTGGCAGACATGCAATTCTCAAATAAATGAGATTTTCCCTTATCTACATTCTCACAATCGTGTGAACAGTTATAGAGCAGGTAGCTTTTTTTTTGCACCCCCCCCCCCCCTTTTTTTTTTGGCAGATGGGGATTTAAGGGAAAATGGTAAGGAATTCAAACTATCAAGATAACATTTTTATTCTATTTTGGCTCTTGGGGGTTTAGTCTTCCAAATACAGGGTTTTTTTATCTGCCTTTTTCAGCATTTAACCAGGTTTTTCTAGCTATGTTGTACTTGAAATGAAAAATCAGTGGGAAATATTTTTGTTTACACCATCTAACATTTATGAAAAAACTCTTCACTATTCTTCCAAGAATTCTGTATTTTCTCTAGAATTTTACACACAGAGGAAAAATAGTAACAAAAGCAAGATTTTATATCATTAAATCTTTCAGTTCAGAGTACTTTTATGCTCAGATCACCAGGATTTATTGTCATTTTTTTATTGAGGTGGCTGTGGCGACCTGAAACAGCCACTGTCATCATAAGTGTGTCCTTGAGATCTTGGCCCCGAGCAGGGCTGGAGCAGAGTCTAGCACTCCCTGGATCCTGTGCTAGACAGAACACTGACCTGTCTGGGCAACTGGATGCTCCTTTATCTCTGCATTGTAGTCTGTTGAACCTTGTAGGCTTGCCTTTAGATGTATTATTCTTCAGGTCCTCTGGGACTGTCTCTCCCACATTCCACTAGACATCTTCAGTTTCTAATTTAGTCCAAGGGCATAAAGAATGGATGCTACCCGGTCACATAGAAGAATGACGCTATTAAAATACCAAACAGCTAATATTTGTATTTTATTTTTAGCTTATTTCCTGATGTTTTCCAGTGGCTGCTGATGTCACAAAAACTTCCTTTCTAGTTGCTTTGCTTAAAATATACATACATCATATATATATGCATCTTTATGCCAGAGTCTGGGCTCGTTAGATCGTCCAATGTATTTGCTTATGAATGAAGTGGCATCAGCTCAAACTCCTTGAGAATGACAACTGCAAGGATCTTGCAGAAGGACCTTTCTGTGAGGCTTTTTCTTCTGTGAACACAGCCCTGAGAATTTAGATGCTTGACAGCCTGTATTCTCAACCTATGTGTTCGTAGCAAGGCCAGGCAGATATTTCACCTGACATACAGGCAGTAGACAGTAGACTTCAGTCTTGACCCAGACACTGAATGTCTCTCCTCCACTACTTTACAGCAAAGGATTGAGTCAACATTAATCCCATGTAGGACTTAATGTCATAATGAGTCATTCGTCAGGGGTTACCATATTTATATGTACTGTAAAGGAGGGTAGGGTCTGTCCCTTGAGATGTCATGTGGTTTCTTGCCCTCTCTATTTTTAATTTTCCTTTTAAGTGAGTTTATGGAGTCACGCAGGACTAAAAGAAATGCAACAGACAATAATTAAGCTTCCTTATTTCTTGCCCTATTCATGTGCTGACCAGACAGTCTTAGTTTTCTTTGTTTTCTGATCCCCTCCCCCATATCCATTCACTTCCTGAATTTTTTTGACTTATAATAACACCACAAAACCCATGTGATTACTCATTTAGGCTTATCGTTTCCTATTTTTTTCCTGATGGGTGGCCAGTTCTCATAAATATGTTATTGCAGGACAGGTAAATTTCAGCATATGCTGTGTTGAAATCGAGTGTTAGGTCCCAGTCTTTCATAAGCAATACAAACATATAATTAGAAATAATTTATTTATTTTTTTCGCTGCTGGGCATTTGCTGCAGTTGGGAATAAGAGAAAGTTTGTGAAAAGCTAACTTTCTGTGTGTTTATTTTCCCATTATCTTCTTACTGCCTCAGGGTGAAACAGAACCAACATTTTTACACAGAGTGAATGTTGTAGCTTGGTCCTAGTGTCACATCACAACTTTCAGCACAGCATCACGTCCAAGAGCAGTTGAGGATTGAATTATGCATATTTTGTTCAAAATGTCCTGTTCTTGGCACATTTGTGTGTATGTTTTTTAAAGAATCTGTAGATGTCTCTAGTGAGGTAGTTCTGCTTCTACCTAAGTGGCATTAGGAGGCTCTGGCTGTAGTAACAGCACACAGAAGAAAAGGTTTTGACCATTGTCCATCCAGGATCTCAGAATTTCACATGTTTTATTAGTACATGTGAGTCAGTTCTTCTGTCTCACTGTATAGTATTTGGTACTTACAGCTGCCACTGAAGGTCTTTCAGTAGAGTATCTAAATGACAGATGCGTTCTTAGAGATTTTGTATGGCACACTCTGAACCTTTCTCTAAGCGTAATATGCATATACATTCTATTTAAACTTCTCTTATTTTCTTCTTCTTCCAGGTATTATGACAACTTTACCCAGTGCACAGAACGTGAAGCCAACAACGCAAGTTGCTTTTGGCCAAACCCCCTTGCAGAAGGCTTTATCACTGGGATTCATAAACAATTCTTTTCAAACTGTACTTCAGAAAAGGTTCACTGGGAAGATCCACCGGATGAAATTCTCATAACTCTGATTTTGATCCCAGTCATGTTGACATGTGCCATGATAACGCTGGTAGTATGGTGCAGCAAGAGAAGTGATATCCTGGTGTAAGTTCTTCCTCTGGGCTTTCTTTTTCCCCATTTACTTCTTCCAAATACACTAAGAAAGGAGGAAAAAGAGAGACACTGAAAGATTTCAGATCTGCTAAAATGGAACCTGTGAGATACTGAGTCAGAGACAATGCTCCTGTGAACAAAGAACTGCCTGCTGCTGCTGCTGGTCACTGCTTCTAGCTTGGTCATGGGTGTTGCTGGTGCAAAATTCTACTTCAGTTGGGCCTTATCATCATGGAATTCGCAGGCAGCTCCCAGAAACAGGAGAGTCCCCAGACAAATAGACCCCTTATCTGCAAAAAGGGTAGTTTCCTATGGGTAAAGGTGGCTGGTAAACTAATTTTTGCAAAACTGTATGTAATTGTATGTACTCACAGTGTGATATTGACTGCTGAGGAGATGATATCTCTTGAGGTTTTGTGCAGAACACTCGAGATTTTCATCTATGAACCCTGTGACTTGGATAGATCGTTGGCAAAGGAACTGAACATGGATGTAACCAAGTGGCAGCTTTTCCTGAAAGCTGGTCAAAATCATCCTTATCAAGAACTGGAAGTATTGTCCTGACAAAGAAACAGTTTTTGTGTCCAGTGACCATCTACACAGGGAAATTATCATGCCACAGTATAAAATAGTTTATAAAATTCCTTTAAACATGGCTATTTGGAATTGTATGTCTTACAAGCAAACTCTGGGAAGATAAACAGGTCTTGTTTTACAGAGCTGAAAAATGTGAGAGGAAATTGGTTGATTATAAATATACTAAGAAGTAATGAAGAAACTTTCATATGCCAGACTCTTTATTTTTCCTCTTTTATAATTATTATTCTTGATGACTTGTGTTCACTGTATACTCCCCGCTCTCACTTCAATTTGTGCAAGTGATATCCTATGAATATATATAAAGGTGTCATGTTGATTGAGGTGCCTTTCAGAGTATTGTACATAAATATTTCTATGTCCCGTGTAGAGTGTGGGAACTAAAGTATGAACATCAAAGCTTGGAACAGACATAGGAGGAAAGAAAAAATTCAACTCAGAAATCTTATTCTATAAAGTTATTTCTATGTAACAGTTTAAATAAAGATCATATGCTCAAAAATAAAACAACTTCTATGTTTGTGTTGCAAACCTTCCTCTTCTGTCCCTTCACAAAGTGCCGTTCAATTGAATGCTATTTTAAGTGTGCAGTATCTATTACAAGTGACTCTACATTTTTCTATACCTTATGCACACAAATAAAATACTGTTGATTGGCCAAGTAACAGTGTTCCATATCTCTTCTAGTTAGATTTTCTCCTTTAAGATTCTGATTTAGTGTTTGAGACTTAGGCCTGTGTGTATGAAAAGCATTTCCAGGCTTGAATTGAATTTGAGGTGCTCCCTTTACTAGAATTGTTTGTATGTAGATAGGTAAGTAAACTAGTTTGTTTTCACATCCTTTCAAAAGGGTTCAAAAGGGTTGAGTGTTTTTTCAAAGACTCTTTCTCATTGTCTAGATGCTAGCAGACATTGCTCTTTGTAAAAAAGAAGAATGACATAATTTACTTTTGTTTTTCTGCATTAAAATGCTTTGACCACCAAAATGAGTGTCCAAGTAAAAATCCCAACCCATTCATTTTACGCAAAAGATTGTTTGGTTAAGCATTTTGTGGGGCCAAACCCATATAATTTTATATTCTGCATGGAGTTTCATTTTAATCCTCATTTTATTTTAAATTTCAACAAGCTTCAAAGCAAGTTTCAAAGCTTTAGTTTGGAAACCGCATAGCAAAAATGTTGACTTTTTAAAAGGACATGTTCATTTTAACCTAATTGCCATGTTTGATGCAAATTCTTGACCAGTTCTGGCTCATCTGAAACTGTGTTCACCTGTTCAACAGGTCACCTGAGAGATACCAGTCATCTTAATTCAATATAAAAGAGATAGGCCTGGGTACTAAGTGAAGAAGAAACCTTGATGACTTCACACAAGTAGATGTGTATTGTGGTATTTAAAAGAATGTCAGGTTTAAATGGTTGAAAAGAATTACTGTTTAATTTGAAAATAAAATCTAGTGTCAACTTTTCAAAGAGTCTTAAAAAATGTAAGATCCAAAGAAGAAAAAATAGTAGATTTTCCTTCCAGTGCCATGAAGTAAGAGGAAAGATTCTGTCACTGCTCTGTACTTTGGAGGTGAAAATTTAAACTTTTTTGTTTGTCTTCCCTATACAAAGTGTCATCTTCCATTATTTTTTTATATACTTGAAGAAGGGCAGAGAAATTGAAACAGTGCATGGAAAATCACACTGGTTATTTAATGTAGTCTCCCTGATTAAATCTGAGAAATATTTATAGTGTTTTAAGGGAAAAAGCAACCAGAGACTTCAGATTTTAAAATTTGTGTACATTAATAGGGACCCAGAATGGTAACTGTTGGATCTTTTGACATAGCTTGTGCTATGTATTAGTGAGAGTTAGTGGTTATTTTCTGCTTCATGGACCTTGCTACTTCTCCCACAAAATCTGTTTCCATTGCCAAGGAAATCACATCTAGTACCAAGAAGCTGGCTCATTTTGTAATTGCAAATTAATTCTATGTTACAACAGTGTCTCAGGAAAATAGAGGCATTCAAACAGAAAGAAAAATAACTGGTTCAAAATCTTTCCTAGAACTGAAACAGTGGTTGATCCCAACCAACGTGTAGGCCAGAAGAAAAGTGACAGCTAGATGACATTTCTAATTGCTGTGAGTTGTGGGATTTTTTTGCATTCAGGAACAACTGGGGAAGTATGTATCTCCATGGGGTATAAGAGCTTCAGCAAAGAGTTGACTGAAGAAGATGATGACTAGCAGGAATAAGACAAAGGTAGAGAGGGTGCCATCTCTTTCAAGAAAGGTATCAGGGGTGGAGGCCAAAGGAGGAAAGAGTTCCTGAAGGACAAGGAAGAAGATGGTCAAGAACACAAAAGAATTCAGGACTTCCATCCAAGTGGATAACCTCACTTTAAGCAGGTTAAAATGTCCCTTGGTGCATTGGTTGGGAATGCTAAGGATATTCTGCACACTCTCTGCCTCTGTCCTAAGTTCATGCTGGGGGAATCAAACTCCCCTTTCATTTCTGGCATCTCCACAAGTAAATGAATGTATATGGTGTAAACACCCTTCTACACAATCTGGGCATCCAGATGAATTTACAGGAATGCCTAGCAGATGTGCCCCTATTTTGGCTGGTGTAGGTGGTGTCCTCCTGTCGAAATGTCATGTGTGAATCCTGGCATCAGGTGTCTACCTACTCCAATACATTGTTTGGATCTTTTGGAACCTGATGCAAAGTATGAATTTTGTGAGGCAACAAGATAATGTGTAGGTAATGCTACAGTTCTGGACATTATTTTGCTTAAGCTTCAATCATCAAAGGCCTGAGGGTACTTCATTCCTAGAAATGAAAATGAAAGACCTTGACCTGTGCTTGCAAAGTCTGACGTTCAAAGGAAAAAAGCAAAACATTGGTTTTTTACCTCATGGGTGTCTTGGGACAATTAGTGACTGTTGTTGTTTCTGAATACAAGAAGAATGAAGGCCTGTATGTGGTTTGACAGAAATACTTAAAAGCATGCAGTGGAATCTTAATCCTGAGAAGTACTTCAGGGCATAGCAGATGCTATTTAATTTCAGTTAAAGAATCTATGTTTCTGCTACTCTAGCAGAACTTTGAAATAACGAGCTGAGACCCCCAATTTTGAATTCGATAAGAAAAGCAATTTTTCTGCATTGAGGCTACTACCTTGTCTTTAGCTAAACTCTCAGCAGAACATTTCAAAAGGAGACAAATATTAATGGTGCATGATGGGCATTATCTGTCAACATCAACTTGCCAAGACTGTCAGGGAATGGAGGCAGAACCAGATGGTCATAGGCAGTATAAAGGCACCAATCTGCTTAGAGCTCGCTGTGAAAGCTACCTCTGCTCAGAAGTGTCTGGAGACACATTAATGTGGTACTGTACTTGTCTTTGAGAGTTGTACCTTATGCTGAGAACATCACTGATGCAATGGCCTGACTGCTGGGCTGGAGACAGCTTGAAACATGGGGTCGTAAAATGTGTGTCTTTTTAGAGGTTCCTGAGAGTATGCATATACAGACAAGACTACCAGGCACATTACTGGCTTTTTCTTTGGAACCTGAGGGGCTGGCAGCAGCATAGCTGGAATTACTCCTTAAGATTTGTCATTCAGAGGTACTTGAATTCTGTCTAAATCCTTCAGGGTGGGATTTTTTTTCTTTGTAAGTTTTTATATCTAGGGTGTTGGTCTCTACATGAGAATAGGCTCTTTTATCTCATTTTCATCACATTCTAAGGGAGACACTTGGTTTTGGTCAGATTAATGTCAGAAATGCTCTCTAGGAACCATCAAATAGATCCTAGTGACAGTTCCACTGTAGCCTCAGCAATAAAGTAGACATCTAAATTATATAGTATGGCAATCATACTATATAGCACCTTAGTCCTCTATTCTTCAGTGCCCTATCTGAATAGGGAATAATCTCAGAGGGGTGCTATGAGGATAAGAAAGTGAATGATCACAAGTAACTTAAAGAATATTGAGTTGTAGAACATATTTACAACAATCTAATGATTCGAAATAACAGCAATTAAAAAATCAATTGGAATTCTATGCAGGGAGAATTTTCATGATTCAGTCCATTTGGCTAATTGTTTTTCTTTGCTATTTTTTTTATTTGCAGTTAATCTTTTTCAAAATTAATGCACTAGAAGGGAGAAATAAAGAGCCTATTCCTGTTAAAGTGCAGCCCTATATATTTGAAAAATGCCATTGTATTAACATGATTAACATTAGCATGGGTCTTTTTTCATCTTCATTCTCCTGCTGGTCAGAACATCAGGAGAATGCAATTTTCACCTGACAATTTCAGTACCATTAAAGATGCAGAATGACAACACTGGAAGCTTTTTAGCACACAACTGCTTGAAAGTGAAATATGTTGAGTGACTTGGAAACCAATTGAACTATTCCTGGAGAGTGCACCAAGGGACAGCATATGTGTATATACAGACAGTGAGTGGGAACACACAGATAATTCCACTGGCACAGCTTCACTGTAAGTCCTAGGAGGTTGTGATACATTTAATTGCTCACCTCACAAAAACAACCTCAGGTAACAATTACTAATTAAAAAAACAACTGAAGAAAACCTATCTCCATCATGTTTTTAAGAGACTACCTTATTTCTCCCTTCTCTTTAATAGGACTGTAATAGGGGATGTCCTCCTATTTTCCAGCTGGACTAACAGTGTGCAGATTGTGTGTGGATGGTGTATCTGTTCAACATTTGATGCATAAATACATTCTGTAAAAAAAAAAAAAAGAGGAAATCCCCCTAGTTTATCTGTATGACAAGCTACTGGAGGCATGTATGCCACTTCAGCATAATATTAATATTTCTGCATGTTTCAGCCATTAGCAAGAACATAGAGCCAAGCATCGCTAGAACGAAGATACTTGGAGGAGACCAAATGATACAAGTCTTGAAGCATGCCTGTGTCTGATCAGACTCCTATAACATGAACACCTTCAGATTTTGACAGATAGAGTTGGAGAGGGCCTTTAGGATTTTTATATTTGGTCAACTGTTGTAAAAGCAAAGATACATATTTTATGAAAATTGAACAAACAAGTTGTTTTGTTAGGAACGTGAATAGGAACTAAATTTGAAAGCAATAGCACGTTCAATCATTCCTATTCCAAATGACTGTAGTGAGGCTTGGATTTGAGTGAGCTGTAAAAATCTAATTAAACTAAGTATTCACTTCTAAATAAAATGAAGCATGCAAAGTTACACATTGATTTTAGGTTGGTCTTTGCCCTTTGAATGAATTTCACCTTGAATAAAGAGAGAAGGTAAGGAAGAAAAATGAAAATGCCAAATTTTTCTATGAAGTATCAAGAATTTTACTAATTTCTTTAAATAAATCATTTATTGATTATTGCTTTGGTTTATTCTGTAATTTAGACTTTTTGTAAAAGTAGCTTACTTTCTTTAAGGTCAAGCATGGGTACTTTTCCAAAAGCATGAAGCTATTAACGCAGACAAATGTAGGTGCCTTGCGTCCTGTTTAGTAAATGG